TTAATTTCTTCTGCTCTCATAAGAGTTGTTTGTCTATCAGTGAAGTTCTTCAATTGCAAAATATAAACAATCAAGAAATGCACAATTTGTAACTCATTAGTTTTCAGAAAAAGCTAGTCGAGTTGAGCTTAAGCATGATAGAATTTTATATCCTCTATGTATAAATTGGTGTGACAGCATAAAAATGCAAACGAAAAAAAATTCTAGAGCAATTTTAAAACCCACTTTTTCCCCTTGCTTCAAGATCTAAACAAGACATCAATATTAGATTCTTGAGACAAGAGAGAGACACAGAGTTTTAAATATTGTACACACTGTTGTTTAGTCCAGTAAAAAAATGGATTTGCAGAAATTTATCAAGAATGAAACTCGTACATTTTTAATTCAAAAAGTAAAAGGGCATTAAACCAATAAATATGAACTTAAAGGGAATTAAAATATTTCATTACCACAACGTAACCTCTTTAATATATAGCTTATACATATAGATAACAATAGCTACTGATTAACTCACAAAAAGCATTTTAGTGGGATATTAAATTTGTCAAATTTAACTTAATTATCTACTAGGAAACAAAAATATAATACTGAAAACATTAACATATGATAATTATGCTTGTCCAAGAACAATTTGATCAAAACAATTCTTGAAATTCTTCAACTGAATTCTATCCATTAACTCACGATACTATTTGAAATCAAACAACCTAAAGTTTCTAAGGCAAAAAAAAAAAAGCAGAAAATTGTTGTTCCTGAACTCCAATAAAATTAAAAAATAATGGCCAATGCTAAATTACATGCTCGTTTGAAATTCAGCTATAATTCGACAATTCAGTGTGGTAGCAGAGAAAAGGCAGGAAAATCGACAAATAGTAGTAATTCACATCTCTTAGTTCAGGTTCATCTGATAAAACTTGTTTGACTAAATCAAGTCAACACTCTCCCACTTCCTTGGGAACAAACAAAATTCAAATTGCTTCCATTTTCTTAGCAACCAAACAGAGTTCACCAAATTCCGCATTCCTACCAGAGATCTAAAGCATTAATTTACAAATTCGAATAAAAATCTAAAGCATAAAATGCTTAAAACGAAAGAAACAATAAAATTACCTGAATTATGCAAAATTAAACGGAGAAATGGATCGGAGAAGATATTTAGGTATATGAGAATGGAGGACGGAGGGGAAATGTGGGGCGAGATCAGACGATGTTGATTATGCGATAAGACGAAAAATCGAACAGCAACCGTTGAGATCTAAATCTCTGAGTCCCGGGTGAAGAGATACTTTTATTTTCTGCTTTTCTGTGCAAACGTGTAATTTTGTGCAGACAAAAAAAAAACCGTAAACCTCGAGGTCATCTCTTCAAAACCTATAAATGGGCTTTTTTTTTAACCCGAATATAACCGTGAACACAAGAAGGCTTATTCAAACACTTAAAAAACTCGAATCTAAACCAAGTAGGATTTAAAAACATCTGATTTTCCCAAAATCCATATTGTTTAGAAATATGTAAATGGTTTTCAGAACAGGATCTGTTAGCGAATCGGTTATATTATCAGTTCATTGATTTAACTGATTGAATCGGTTTGATCGGTTGGAAGAATCAGACGACGTCATAATTATTTAAAAAATTAAATAAAAATACTAAAAATATTTAATAAAAAATAATTTTTTATATCATAAGTCATATTCAAAGCAAGTCATAACATATATAAGTTAAAAATCATAAAATCAAGTGAAACAAAATGATTCCAATTAACTACAACATAATATTTAAGGTAAACATATTAAATAATAAATATAATTATATAACTATAATTAAAAAATAAATTTGGAGCTAAAAAAATCATAACAAAATGATATTGTTTGGTTTAATTTTTTTTTAAAACAATCCCACATGGCTAAGAAACATAGAAGAGCATCTCAAAAGTCTAAAGAGTAAAAATATGAGAACAAAACAATCTCACATGGCTAAGAAACATAGAAGAGTATCCCAACTAACTTATATAAATAATAGAGGTAATTTGGCATTCAAAATCATGGACCCTTCTGGTGAGAATTGAGTAAAGTATTTTTTCACTTCAATCAAGCTCGACTTTTAAGCTTCAATCAAGCTTCTAATTTTTTTTTTTGAGTTCAAACATTTTCGAGTTCAAGTTTCAATATTATATTTCGAGTTCGAGTTGAACTTGATAATTTTTAGCTCGTGAATTTGAGTCGAGTTGAGCTTACTTTTAAAGTTTTCAAGTTCGAGTCGAGTTCAGCAATACTCGAGTTCAACTTGGCTCATTTAACAAACGACGTCGTTTGGTTTAATTTTAAAAAAATAAATAAAATTGGCGGTTTTTTCCGGTTCTTCTCGGTTTTTAGCCGGTCCGATTCGAACGGTTCAGCGGTTCTAGCCGATTCACTAGTAGCGGTTCAACCGGTATAAATTAAACTGGACTAGACAACGATTCCCGGTTGAACCGATCGATCCGATCTAATCCGATTTTCAAAACACTGAATATATATTTTTAAGCATTTAAATATAAATTTTTAAACATGTATTTGTTGAGTAATTGAATATAAAATTAAAAATGCTAGTTGCCAGTGTCACCACATCCTTGCTCAAGTTTATTTTTTTTTAAAGTAATAGGAGGTCTCATTAAAAACTTTTTATTAATACAATTAAGAAAAAACTCAATTCTAAAAGCAAAAGAAGAAAAGAATGCGTCAATTATTTTATTAAGCCAAAAATATTGTTCGAATACATGATTACGCCTTTGAGGAACCTAAGGAACAATTAACATCAGGAAACCGATTAAAAAAAATTAGCTAATCCTATTCCCCTATGTAATAGGGTAAGAAGGAGGTAGAGTAGTAGGCTTACTACCCAATGTCAGGTTGAGAGCATCTTCCGTGAAAGACCTCTGTTATGAATTGCCCTCAGTGAGACTCGATCCCACGACCACAAGATTAAGAGCCTTGCGCTCTACCAACTGAACTAGATCGACCAAACCATCTGACAAATATGTTTACATACCAACTAAGCTAGGGAAAACCGAAACCAGCCACCTGGAAAAGCACATAGAGCATACAAACTCCCCGAATACCAAACTGCATAGATAACTACTATTTAATCCCAGCTTTGGCGAGAGAGTCAACATCTGTATTGCAGTTTCGAGGAATCCATTTAATAACTATGCCTAGCTCCTTGACAACATCAAAAATTTCTGAAACCAAGCGAATCGAATGCGAAGGAGGAACAACTTTAAGTGAGATCCAATCAACAACCAATTTGCAATCAAATCCCAAAACTAACCTGAACCTTTTACACCAGGGAGAAGCAAGGAATAGACCAAGCCTCTTCTTCACAGCATTCAATTCTATCAAGGCAGGAGGGCTATCATTACACGGCTCAGAAAATTGAAGTAAAATCTCTCCATCTGAGTTAGTTAGAACCCCCTATACCAGCACTAAGACCACCTTGTGCAACTACCCCATCAACATTGAATTTCACGAAATCAATCGGAGGAGGAGGCCATTTCATCGGGACAGCACACTTACTAGGATTAATAATTTTATTGGAGACCAGAAAAGGATCAGCAATAATAGCATCCAAATGAATATGGCAGTCGAGATAATTAGCTTTAATCCAAGAAGCAAGGCCAAATTTAGCCAAGAAAAAGATTTGCATCCAACCATAGGATTTTTTATTAAAAATAATGTCATTCCTAGATAACCATAGAGTCCAAATTATTACGAAAGGGATAAAGCTGCATACTTGACTTACCGAAGACGACCCATTTCTCTGCAGGACTCCAAAAACAGCATGGGATCATAATGCAAAACAGTATAAATTACTAATTCTTTACAAAACCACATCCAAATCAACCAGTAAAACCAACAATCAAAGAAAATATGCTCAATACTCTCTGGAAAGTAAAGAGCAAAATGGGCACAGATTATTAGAGATAGAACTAACACCCCTCTTAATAAGTTTAATTTTAACCGGAACACGTTTCCTCATCACCAACCAGACAAACAACTCAACCTTCGGAGGGGAAAAACCAATCCAGATACAATTTTTCCAAAAATCATCAGCCAACTTATCTCAGCTTTTTCCCCAAACTCAGCTATACATCCTGACTGATTCATTTACTGTGCATAAATACGGGGGAATCGAATCTTTAATGATGAATTACCCAGTCACACATCATCCCAGAAAAAGATATATTTTCCATTTACCGCTTGTAAGGACAAGTTTAATCTTAGACAATTACCATAGCCATCATTGCTATAGAAGAGCGTAGAATTGAATTCCATATCCAAGAGAAATGGTGAAGGCCTAGGCAAAATGCTATCTTTACCTTTCGAATATTTACATTGAATCACCCGTCTCCACAAACTATCTCGATCATTGTCGTATCTCCAAATCCATTTACCAAGGAGAGATCTGCTCATACTCGACAAATTAACAAGGCCAAGACCACCTACTTCGAGGGATTTGCAACATGAGTCCCAACAGACCCAATGAATTTTATGTTTCTTAAGATTACTTCCCCACAGAAAATGGACATGAGACTATTTAGCTGCTTTAATACGGAGACCGTCGTCCTAAACAAGGATAAATAATACATCGGGAGACTTCTGAGAATTGATTTTATCAGGATTAACCTCCCATCATATGACAGGAATCTCATCTTCCACCCTTCCAATTTGCTTGTGAATTTTTTCACAATCGGTTCCCAAATAAAAGGCGAGTTCCTACTGTCCCCCAATGGCAAGCTAAACATCCGAATTCCTACTAGCCCCCTGAGCTCAAGTTTATTATTTTTATATAATTTTGTTTGAAAATTTAAAGATTATTTGGTTATTTTGAAAGAGACCAGTTTGCTATTGACATGAACCCAAGAGGTATTTATACCAATCTATTAATCAACTTTTGGATGTTCAAATAATAAAATATCATGTGTAAAGCATCATTCAAATCAAGCTACATGGTATCAATTATCCAAAAAGTATCTTCTCAAAATCCAATAGAAGTAAACAACTGCGAGCTGTTACAATTATATAGCCAAAGGAAAATTATGCTACTCTGAATTCTCAGTTACGCAAATGATAGCCTATTCTAACATCCGTTTTTCCCAACCAATAAAATTAGATTGTATGTTTCGGAAAACACCTAAAAAGATCTCTGCTATATAAAATTTCCCCGTTCTTGCTTCTACCTCCATTCTCCTATAGCTTTGTCAACAACTTGAACCAAACTATGTGAGGAATTCGTGAGCGGTTCCATGAAATGACTCAACGAAAATGGTTTTGAACCTTTTGATAACCAGAAGACTAATCCATCGCCCTCTCAGTGGCGTTTGCTACCTTCTGCATTATCATGGACTCAGCTTGACGAATTGCTCTTTGTGATCCCGTGATTGTGACTTTCCTGTAGCACAAGGTTGGGGGGGGGGAATTACCTAAGAACTCAATGCTTAATGGCAGATTGATAAAATTGGGATTGTTGTACCTGTCGGTTGTTCCAGACATGAAATTGCCTCTATCCGATATTTTTATCCTGGCACCACTTACCTGAAATGAGAAAGTGCTCAGTTTCATAGCATATGCAAAAAAACTATGGAACCAAATGTATCTATTCGACTTTCTAATTTATAAACCTGACTAATTTCCATGATACTCCTTCCAGCACGACCTAGAACCAATCCAATATGCTCATCAGAAACACCAATCGTAACGGAGTTGCTATGATCCTCCTGGATAGACATGTAAAAGAATTCTATCGAGTAAGGATCAATTTATTGACAATATACACATATAGCATGAGTTGTTGTTTTCAGAATATCAGTCACATCACTTGCAACATAAAGGGTTTAGGGAGGCATTAGAAATTGAAATGACACTAGAAATACAACTATTTTGCTCCTATTCTTCATTTAGCTTAAATCACCCATGTCCGACATATTCAGACAAAAATAAGGTATGGAGATATGACACCGGTACCCATATCCAACACTCATACCCAAACCCGAGTAACATAGTACCACAATACAACAATTATATAAGTATGGTAAAATTTTGCAGTAAAGAGTTAACAAATAACTATTCTATGAGTTTGCAAAAAACAAATGGAAGGACCATGTGATCGTCCTCTGCGAAAACACCAAAGCAAAAAATAATAATAACAATAATATAGTTTGTCTGGCACTGACCAAAGTAAATTAGCATCAGCCATCACGCAGGACAGAAAAAGCACATAGAGAGAGATGAACCTTGTGATTAGGAAACTTCACTCCAGCTCCATTTGGTGCATAGTTTATTGAATTATAAGTCGCTGTAGCAACAGAAGGAAGCACATATGCATACGGTATACCATGAAAACCAGAGAAGAAAATACCTAAATTCCTTTTTTTATTATTTAAAAAAAAAATCTTACCGGAACAAAATCAAAGATACTAGCAATATGTAGTAAGAACTCAACAAAAGACATAATATCATGGTAAATATGCAATCCTTCCAAAGTGAACATCTGGAATTTAAACACATAAAGGAACTTCCATGATATTTTTGGGCCACATTTTTTGCAGACTATGCTTACTTCCAAGCATTTGGCCACCAGTAGAAATCTGCAATTACTTTGCAATTAGGATAAATTATATAGGTGCAACACCTTCCGATTAAGTGTTTGTTATGCCCCTTTGCTTTAAGGTTTCTGCGATCATACTAAATGGCTCAGGTCCAATGGAAATTAACATAACAGTTCTCTAAGCATTCATCCTCGAGCTTTATTTTTTATTTTTAAAAAAGAAAATCATTTTCCAGAGAATAAGTGTGAAGGCTAAAAGAGCATTAAAATAACAAAAACTGCGATGAAAGATTTGTGTTGGATGTGGTCCTGGTGAAAGCTGAAATACTGAAGAAAAAAAATGTTGTTGCAGACAAAGGCAGTGTTAAATGGTCACAGTACAACTGTTTGCATAACAGGATTATGATATAACCATGAAAGAGGTGGGAGATAAAAAAGGCAATATAGCGCTGATAAAGCAGAGACAATTGATGCAATTGCAAACATGGACTCAATAGTCAAATAAAAAGATAACACACCTGCGCATGAAAATGGGGCATGCATAGCTTGTGAATAATGGGGGTCTTCACAAAGCTTTGAAAGAATCAAATCAGTAGCTCTCAACTGCTCATCTAGAGTGCCAGTTACTGTTATTAGCCTATCATTCAAGCCATAAAAATTATTATCCTGTGGAGATATCTTAATGCCAGCTTGGGAGCCATCAATAAATGACCTGCAAAAAGGTATAAATAATAATTAGGGTATGTTTAAGGCAGACATAATGAAAAGGGACAAATAATACTTCAATAACAAGTTAGAAACTAAAACATGCCGTGGACCACAGACATAAAACATGAGCCTAGTTTAAACAATCAATTTTAGTATATGTTTTGTTTCTCATTTCATCTAATGCATTTAGAAAAGATTATGTTCACAGTTCACAACAATGGTTTTCTTACAAGGGAGAATGTTAAGGATTTATGAGCTTTAAACAACCAATTATAACTTCTTGCGAGACTTAATCCACAAGTAGCAGCTATAAGTCACTTGGGGAGAAGTCATACTTTATGAATCAGATTAACTTGTGAGTCATACCAATTATCATGCATACTTAGGTGGAAGTAGTGGATAAATGTAGAAAAGCACAGGTTAACATTAATTTTCCTTGCATTTGAGTGTTACATTTAAGATACTGATCCATCTTAAAGAACATGTCCACAGCCCACACAACACCCCAGCACCAAGGTATAATGACAACATTAGATTGGTTCTTTTCCATGATTCTCAGTTGACATACAATCATAAATAAAGCCCAAGGTACTTAAATTGAAAAAAAGAAAGCAAAATATCATGCAGCTCAGATATTGATGCCAGCTGGACCTTCCTATAAGAAAGCACTGTTCTTGTAAACCTTAAACTCCACATCTTCAGATGTTATAATGAAACAAAAGCCATCCCCATCTAATTAGAGAATAAGCATGTCATGAGTATGCAATTCTAGAAGTAACTTATTAAGCTGCATCAAAATTATAGCTATGGTAATCTTTACTAAAGTTATTCCTATCACCAAAATTTCCCCTTTTCAGTGCCCACCTCACCAAGTTAGCTCTCTTTGCATGTGAAGTTCTCAAATCATCCCTAACTCAGTTGGTCGCGTATAACTTCCGTTGTAGACATCACAAATGACTCCATTCCAAAATAAGTAGTTCAAACACCAGTCATGCCTTATTAGCTCACTATAAATCAACAGTAGTTTAAAATTTTTATGAAGTGTATCCCTACGAATAAAAAGCATAATGGAAGAATAAACCCATATGCTGTATAAAACAAGCCTGCTTAATATGCTGCAATTCTATGAGCACTACTAAAAACTATATTAAAAAACCTTTGATTTCAAGCCTGCAAAACATCCTATCCAGGTTAATTGCCAAAATCAAAGCAACAAAAACATGTACAATAATCAGAGTATCCAAGTAGACTTCTTACTTTATGGTAGCCCCTCCTTTCCCAATTATGCTGCCACAAGAGTTATTGGAAAAAATTAGCCTCACTTTTGTTCTAGGTTCAGCATCATCATTATCATTGATATTAAGCTAACCAGAAAAACAAACTTTGTCATTTATAAAATTGTCGGAAATCTTATAGAGTTCAAAGCCAAAAAGAATAAAGGATCACCTCATTCAATAATTTCACAAGGATAAGTTCCATGGCTTTGAGTATATCATCAATTGCTCCAGAAACCATAATGATCCTGTCAGATGGTCCTGGAAAAAACTCATGACTGCGTGACAACTGAATTCGAGCTCCTGATTTTGACTGAAATTCTGTAATCGTTGAACCAGCCTTTCCAATTACAGAACCAGCTGAATCATTGGATACAAGAAACCTGATATAAGTAGGCTTCTCTGCATTCTCTGCCAGAAGAAAGTCAACAAAAAATATCATCACCAATGCATTAGTAGTCAATGAAGAGCTTCCGAAGCAAACATGAAATTTTCATCAATTCTAGCAATCTCCTCTCTTTCAGCTCAGAAGACAAATAAGAGGATAAAAAAATCAATTATGTATGATGCAACACCATATGTAATTTCTAACTAAAAAAATGACTAAATTAAATGCCTCAAATACAGAACCTGAGATAGCCTTATCAACATTTTGGTATACATTTGATTAGTTAATAGAAAGCAACACAGATCATTAAAAAGTATCCTATTTGCATCTCGAAAGTAACTTAAATCCCTTTCATCCATCACTTTACATTTAAAAAACCAAGGAAGAATCACTGAAGTAGATGGTAAATGTAAAAGGACAAGTCATAAACCTGGAGAATATGAGTCAGAGAAAACTACAGGCATATGAAAGATAAGAATTCAAACTGTAGATAACAGGATATACACTTGGTGTTCTACATTTAATATTTAAATAAATTTGAAGGACTAGTTTGCTAAATATAGCATCTAGGAAGTCAAAACAATTACTTCAAAGATATAAGAAACAACCAAACATTTGATATATCAGCGTTTCCATCAATAACTTCAATAATGAACTTCGAGTTTTCTTCAAAGAAACTTAAACAATTTTCAACATTTTTATAGTTAAAATGCACTAAAATTTTATTTTGGCCCTCCAAAAACTTGAAATGAAGAGAAACTAGAGACCAACATTATTAATAAAGAAAAACTAGAGGTTCCAAGTTTTCAAGAGATCCAAGTTCTTTCTTTCTTGTTTGTTCAGCCTAGTTCTATTGATTAACTGATGTTTTCCTCTAAACCTCGTCACAAGCTGACTAGTGTACCCAAACAATTCAAAAGACATCTTCTTTGGTTTCACATCCAACTTTTAATTTTAATTTAAAAATGAACAACCACCACCATGACTAAAACAACCCTTACTTCCAGCTCCTCACACCTCCTAACATTGTTTAACTCATAGTCCGTTCAGCTTTCACAGTTACTATACAAATAAAAGCAGATAAGAGGTAATGCGAGAGGAACTCCTAGATTTCTCATCCTTCTACTCTCTTACTTCGGGCAGCATTGAACATAAGCCAAAGACTGAGAAGTGAGAACGCATTCTTTCCTCACTATCCAATTCGCATTTCGCCCAGCCCACAATGCTGGGGTTAGAGTTTCAAAATCTAATAAATACTAATCTTTACATTAGGAAAAGAAATAACTCAAAAAAAATTAACGCCATTAACTCGAAAAACAGAAAACAAATAAACTGAAAAGCTTAAACGAAGAAAAAAAGGAAGATCAGATCAGAAATTTACCAGAAGTCGGCGATTTAGGCGGCGGAGATCTATTCCTCGTCACCTCTGGGGATGACAAGTAAGACGACTCCGTCGACTCCATTTCTCTCTTCTAAACCAGAAATACAAATAAAAATAAAAACAATAAAACAAGAACACCAAACAACATTAACAAGTACAACAAGTAAACACAAAGCTTAAGCAAATTAATTAAAATATTCCATACATTAAGGTAATTTATAAAAAAAACAAAAGGATTTATACTTCTTTTCAAACTTTGCTTACTAATTTAGTTTTTTTTTTCTCTCTTTGTGTTGGCAGCTTTCTTCTTCTTTGGTCTGAGCTCAAGGTTTCTGATATTTTCGTTATCTAAACATCGCTGGCTGGCTTAAGCTCGTGGCTCATCCTAGAGTTTTATTTAATTTCATTTAAAGCGTGAAAACCACCTATTTTAGTATAAATAAATAATATTAAATATTATTTAATTAGGGATCGGTGAACGTGAAGAGAAGGGGCGGCCCACAAGGTTGCGACCGCTCTTTTGGGCGATTTTACTAAACTGACATTATTTAATTGAATATTTATATTTTTAACATCGTTTGATATATATTTCTTAAAGTGACACCCTTTCGGTTGAGTTGGCGAAAGGCGCATCCCCGGGGACGCGTTTTTATTTATATTTTTAACATCGTTTGATATATATTTCTTAAAGTGACACCCTTTCGGTTGAGTTGGCGAAAGGCGCATCCCCGGGGACGCGTTTTACTCGGGTTTTCGCTGAGTTGGATGCCACGTGTAGAAGGCGCATCCCCGAGGACACGCCTTCACGGGATTCTGATGACTCGGCTGCCACGCTGATATTTTGTTTAATAATAAATATTTTATTTTTATTATTATTATAAATTAATAATATATTATGTAAAGTGTTTTCAATTAGATGTAAAATTATCAATGTATTTTGTTAATGTGTGTTAAAGGTAGAGTGAATTATCTACATTAATATGATAGAACAATATATGAAAACCAGTTTTGATTTTATTGTAGTTATAGGAAAAATGTATGAAATTATAATATTACACATATGGTTATATTATTATTTTTGATTTTGATTAGCGATCTATTAATTTTTTAAATGTTATCAATCTAGTCATCTCTTATCAATATTTAACGAAAATATTGATGCATAAGTTAATAAATTAGTATAATTACACATTTAATCTTCAAGACTTACATATTTTATGAATTTAGTCTTATTGAAAATTTAATTTAATAAATTTAATCCTCCAATCAGAACATGAAATGTGTCATCGTATACATAAATTTTTTAATAACTTTTAATTTTTTTAATTTAGTATTTTTCTCTACTTAGAATGTGAAATTATTATATTTTAAAAAAATTTATAACTAATAATATTAATTATTATATTAAATAAATATATTGAAAATATTTATGTATTTAAAAGTTAAAAAAATTATTTAGGTGTACATACATTGACAATTATATAAAATGCAATAACATTAAATTATTAGAAACAAAAACATTCAGTTAAATCAATATTAATTACATAAGATTTCTGTTATATGATGAACAGAGTTGTACATTTTTTCTATTGTACCCGATGTTTCTACAATGCCCACATCATTTTTGTTCTGTTGACTTCTCCCGAATATCCATATCACAATGTATTCTAGTAGATTTTAGACGACCTGAGTCCCTCAATAGCAATGGATCTGGTACAATTGTAAGCCAAGTTTGAATCTCATTTGAGTCTCTTTCGTTTCCTATGGGCGGAAACTCAAATTCATATACCTTGAATCCTTGTGAAAGTTGGTATACATGATCAACATAATTTTTGTAGTCCAAATACGAATGTGAGCAAGCTGCAATGACATGAGAGCATGGATATTTGAGTGCTTGAAAGAAATCACAATCGCACCACCTCTCTTGCAGATTAACTCTGAAAGAGTTAGTTTCAATCCCTTGCAGCGGACGTGGCATTTCGGTTACACGAAACAATTCACGGGTGCGAGAAAAATTTGTAACTAACTTCCCATTTGATGCATCCACTTTTTTCTGTAAATCAGCTACTAGTCTTGGGTGGTAAATATGGTCGTTTTGCATCCAAGTAAGAGCTTGTCCACCGAGCTTTGCAAAGAGTTGACCCAAACGAAAATAAGTCATTTTAACCAACGCCGTGACTGGTAAATGACGCGCCCCCTTTAAGGTTGAATTTATTGCTTCAGCCAAGTTTGTTGTAATATGACCATAGCGATACCCCCCGTCATATGCATTTGTCCACATTTCTTTGCTAATGTTCATAATGTACTCGCACCCCTTCTTATTTTTGCCAAACAGCTCTTGTAGCATCGACTCAAACCTTTGAGGTAAGAGTTCGTAACATAAGCCATTAGAAATATGTAATAGTTAATATGAAATATAAATAAGTAATAAGAAATTGATAGAAAAATTGGGAAAAAGTAACATACCCATCCGCACGACTAACTGACGTTCATCGTTTCTTGTTTTTCCGTAATAGTTTTTGCAGCATATGACGGACACAATAACGATGTTGAACATGTGGAGGTCTATACATTGTACCCAAAGAGTCATTGCTGCTTTTATCCCTGCTCCTCGATCTGAAATAATACTCATCGTTCCCTGGTGACAACATGTACACATAAATTTTTAAGGAAAAAAGCCCAAGACTCAGTGTCTTCTCCTTGAACGAGGGAAAACGCAACAAGAAGAATATTGCGGTTTCCATCTTGGACCACAGCCAATAATAAAACTTGCTTGTATTTCCCATACAAGAAAGTACCATCAATTTGGACAACTGGTTTACAGTACTTGACTGCATTAATACACTGAGGGTAAGTCCAAAAGACACGGTAAAATTGGCAGCGATCGCAAACCATTCGATCATTCACGTAATGATGTTGAGTTTCAAACTCAAAAATTGTCCCGGGATTAAGTCTTTGCATAACATGAAACCAACTGGGCAGCTCGTTGTAAGAGGAATCCCATTCTCCATGAAGTTTGCAAATGGCATTCTGTTTTGCCAACCACGCTTTTTATATGAGACATGTACCCATATTGTGACTGTATAGCAGAAATCAACACTGCAACAGCTATATGAGAGCTTTGCTTCACAATGGGCATGATTGCTTGGCAAATAATGTTGGAGTCCAAGTTGGGATGATCCTGGTTTATACCTCTTGCACAACATGTATGAGGACGTTGTATCTGGTTAGTTCCCATAAGTTTGTTCTTCCTCTTTGATACATGGACCATCCATTGACATCCGTTGTCACGTTGGGCGCAGTAGCAGACATATTCACAATGGGCATGATTGCTTGGGCAAATAATGTTGGTCCAGTTGGGATGATCCTGGTTTATACCTCTTGCACAACATGTATGGAGACCGTTGTATCTGGTTATTTTGTTCCCTTCCTCTTTGATACATGGACCATCCATTGACATCCGTTGTCACGTTGGGCGCAGTAGCAGACATATTTCTCTGTGTTAGATCGATCAACTCAGGACTGAACTGAGTTACGAATATTGTAACTCTTTATTGCCATCATTGTTTCCTCCTTCGATGCGAGCTCCATTCCAATATGTAAATTACCGTCATTGACTGATGATTGAAGTCCATAGTTGCCAACATCAGGAAGATCTGGAAATTCAGGCTCATACATTGCATCATAATCAGCCTCATACATATGTGCAGAAGTTAGACTGGTGTTGTGTTTATCGGAACGTCATCCTCATCATCAGAAGTACGTTAAACTGTGGGAGTCAGGTTCAACGAATCCCGTTTCAACACCATCTGCACCTGCTCCCGAAGAGGTTCTTCTGGTGGAGAGGGTTCATCCGATAATCCAATGTTGAGGTCAAATAAGTTCCCGCTTGCATGTCCCCCCTTGAACTTGAGGCCATTGTATCATGTGGGATGTGAATAGACTGCCGTCTCGTTGGCATTTCCATATGTAAGTCGAAAACATTGGCAGATGAATGTCTGCCCCTTGAAGTAGAAGAGATGTTGCCATATGGATTATTGGTGAAGCACGTGGGTTGAGATCATAAGCAGTTGCAGATGAATGCCTTCCTATTGAACTTGATGGCATGGTATCTGGCGTTGGATCCGCCATTGATGATGTGAAATCATTACAGATCATTGTGTCGGGCTATCAACTTGATCAGCTTGATATGCAATGCCAAAGTGAGAGGAATATGAGACCACGAGTTGCACGAACCTCAATAAAAGTGGCATACATTTCAATAAGAGATTGTGACCCCATATGAGCATCAACCATCATAGAAACATCATCATCGTTTGAAAGCTGAAATGATGTATACGTGAGCAGAAAAGTTCAGTAGGAAATCTGTACTGAAGTGAATATAGTCTTCTCTGGCCTGCTACCGAATCTTTAACGAAATTTTTGTGATTAACTCCTCGATTGTGATGTTTCTCTCAAGGTTAAGGGGATATGATCTGACTCAAAAACAACCCCCCCTTCAGCTTCCTTAATTTCTCATACAAAACACAGTAGAAAGACGACTCATTTTCAGAGAATTTGAGAATTTAGAGTTTGGGAATTTAAGAATTTGAAAGCTTGTGAACTGAAGTTTGTTTTGAATGAAAGTTTATAATACGTTGCATATAATAGTGTCTATAATCGGGGTACTATTCACATGAAGGCGCGTTCCCGGGGGCGCGCCTTCCATTATTTTATCAGAGAATATGTTATCATTGCCCTATTATGTCACTCATGTCCCTCGGAGACACTATTCATATCAGTACCTATTATTTCTCAGGGGACTTGAAGGCGCGTTCCCGGGGGTGCGCCTTCCATTATTTTGTCAGAGAATATGTTATCATTGTCCTATTATGTCACTCATGTCCCTCGGGGACACTATTCATATCAGTACCTATTATTTCTCAGGGACTTGAAGGTGCGTTCCCGGGGGCGCGCCTTCCATTATTTTGTCAGAGAATATGTTATCATTGCCCTATTATGTCACTCATGTCCCTCAGGGACACTATTCATATCAGTACCTATTATTTCTCAGGGGACTCGAAGGCGCGTTCTCGGGGGGGCGCCTTCTATTATTTTGTCAGAGAATATGTTATCATTGCCCTATTATGTCACTCATATCCCTCGGGGACACTAGATGGATTGTGAAATCAGGTAAATTATAACCAAAATTTAACTTCTTTTGAAAGTTCAGCAAGTTAAGAATAAATTATACATATAGATTAATTTAAGTTCATAACTTAAATTAAAACGTTATGTGAAGTTTGAATAAATTAGATAAAATGTTATGGATAAATTGAATAAATATGAAGTGATAAGTTGATTGTGACATTGAAATTTTATGGAATGAGCATCGAGATGTTTTTACGAATAAATGTGAAGTGATAAGTTGATTTTAATGTATACGTTTAATATATATGTTAATGATAAAATCATATGTATGGATAAATTTAATTTCAATTTAAGTATTGTAAACTATAATTGGAATATGACTTTTAATTTCGAATACAATTGGAATATTAAGTTGAAATTTAATGTTAAATTTCGAATACTATAATTTATATTTTAATTTTAAATTTCGAATATATTATTTTTTTATTTTAAATTCGAATAATATAATTTGTATTTTAAAAACATTTATCAAACATTTAATGTTAAATGTGAATAAAATAATATTAAAAATATGTATGTAACAACCATGAAACATTTAAATAACATAACCAAATTACATAAACTTCTGAAATATAACTATTTAAATAACATTAAAATACAACTGTATCACCAATGTCGTCTTCTCGAATGAGTTCCAAATGGCGGTGGTTGTCTATTTCGTGGAGGATTTATTTGTGGAACTTGTTCTTCAGTCTCCTCATCTTCACTATCATCATCATCAGCATTTTCTTCATTTGGTGTAGATGATGCTGAAGGGGCTGAAGGGCCTGTATAAAATAACAACCCTGGAGGAGTGCTAGTAACAATCCCATCGCTCCCCAAGAACTGTGAAAACTGTGGAAACATTGACATCGATTTCTGTGATCCAGATGGAGATTGAGGTGTCTGCGGAGAAACACCACCAGCCAAATAAGATGCATATGAACCATATGCTGGATCATTAAACATAGTCGTATATGCACCTCCATATGGTATAAAACCCTACGGGCTAGGCATGTAACCTGGTGGACTAGGAATGTAACCCTGCGGATATGGCATATGAACTGGTGGGCTTGGCATATGAAGTGGAGGGCTGGGCATGTACCCCTGCGGCATCGGCGGAAAAGGATATTGTGGTGGGACTGATGCAGAACCGGTAGTGCCTTCTCTCCGCCCACGCGTTGGGGGACGATGATATTGAGACGGTTGACGTCTTTCTCGGCGCCTAGGAATGCTAACCCCTCGTGCTTCCGCCGAAAGTAGAAATGACTTCCCATTTTCATTAAACCAGTCCATATAGTTATCCGTAACCATATGACCAGTTTCAGCGTAATATTGTCGAGGGGCCAACAGTGCATATTGGTTCTCCCAAAGCGCAATCCAATCTCTGTGTCTCACCACCCAGTTAACCTCTTTCTTTCCTCGTCTATCTATGTTATGCACGTCGTCTAAATTTCTAGGTGCTCCAGGAATATATTGCGTACAACCATACTGACGGAGCACGCGATCAACTGGATGCCACTCAATAATAGCATAACATATAAGAGGTATAATCGACATCCATACCTCTAATGACCCACTAAGGTGGGGTGGGATGCAAGCCTTCACTTCATCGCTCGCATAAGGTATCCACTGAAACTGAAATATAAATATACAATTCAAATAAATCAAATATTCTAATTATATCTAGCATTTTAAATTAAAATATTAATATTTAAACAGATTTAAAAACATACCTCAGACTCAGCTTTCGTATCAATAAGTAAACGAATTTCCTCTAACCCAGTAGGTATACTTTTATGGTTCTTTCTTTTCATCGACCACCTATGAAATATAATATAAACTAAATATCACCCTATTTAATTAAAATTATTTAAATCAAAATTTAGTTCGAAAATTACCTCAACAATAAGGGGAATACGTATGGTTCATTCACGATCGGGCATAAGAAAGGCATGCGGAACCACGCCCATGATTGTAGAAGCATGAGACATCCACCGATAGCAGTTTTCTTATAATTCGTCGCCCGACACATTTCTCTAAAGAGAAATGCCAAAACTGCAGCGCCCCAACTATATCTTCCAGCTTCATCAAAATCGATCAGATGCCGCAACCACATACAATGCACCTGGTTGCGAGATTTGTCGGGTATCAATATTCCTCCAATTATTCGTAGAATATATGCCCGAGCACATGCCTTTGCTTGATCCTCTGAAGCATTTTCATTTAAAACCTCAAAATTAGCTTTCAACAAAGATAAAGCTATTCTACCTCCATTAAACTCTGGCGGAGTAGCTCCAAGATAATCAATGCACATTGATTGCCAATCACCATCCGCCATACCACACATCATATTTCCGTCGACGGGAAGCCCCAGATGCATAAAGACATCATCCAATGTAATTGTGGCCTCTCCACATGGAAGGTGAAAAGTGTGTGTGTCTCGGGCCTCCACCTCTCAATCAGTGCAGAAATTAGGACAGGTTCGAGTTTGCAACCGCCAATAATTGTTGCAATATACCCGAACCCGGCAGAAGCCAAATATGGCAAAATACGTTCCGGTGTCGGTATACGTGGATTTTTAATAAAAGTCTCTAAAATACGATCAGTATCCTAAATAATATACATTATAAAAAATTAAAATTAATATAAATTCATAATAACTTTAAATTAAAAATAAATTTAAATATTAACATTAATTATAAAAAATATTACCATATCGCTAAAATGTCTGGAGATATGATCAACATCCAATCTTAGTAACATTTCGTTTTCCATTATAACTGTAGACAAAACAATATAATTAACAAAAAAAATAATTAATAATTCTAAATAAATAATAATTATATAAATATTATTTTAATAAAAAATAATATTTATATAAATATATTAATATAAAATATAATAACTATTTAAAAAAAATACTAACATAAAAATAAATTTCTTACCACTAATAAAAAATTTAAAACTCAAATAGTTGGAGAATTTGAGTTATATAAGAAAGGAGAATATGATTTTGGTGTGAAGAATGAGGGAGGGTTGAGGGGGTTTATATAGGGGAGGAGGAGTAGTTAGGGGAAAACGGATGGGAGCATTTATGGCATTTAATGGAAGGCGCGTCCCAGGGGATGCGCCTTCCACACGTGGCAGCCGAGTCATCAGAATCCCGTGAAGGCGCGTCCCCGGTGATGCACCTTCCACACGTGGCATCCAACTCAGCGAAAACCCCGGTAAAGCGTGTCCCCGGGAATGCGCCTTTCGCCAGCTCAGCCGAAAGGGTGCCACTTCGGGAAATATATATCAAACGGTGCTAAAGAGGTAAATATTCGGTTAAACAATGTCAGTTTAGTCAAATCGCCCCCCGTTTTGGCTAACCTATCAATAGGCTATGACAACATCTATGCATAAAAATGGGTGAACATTTGAGTGATCTGGAACGGTCTAAAATAGTCCAGATTAAGATTAAAGAAAGACGTTAAACTGAAAATGTTTTAAAAATCATAATATTTTTTATTAGATGTATTTTAAAATTTTAATTTTTTTTATTTTTTAATTAATTTTTTATAATACTTTTAGTTCAACTCAAAATTTTAAAAAATTAATATTTTAAGTTACGCTTAAAAAAATATTATGATTTTTATAACATTTTAAGTTACACTCATTCTCTACCGTTCTTTAACTTTAAATTATATTGTCGTACATCAAATATATCCGATGTGATCCATAAGGTGTTGGAAAAAATTGCTTAATTTAAGATATTCAGAGAATTGTTTTTTAATTAGAGTGATATGAACAATGCAGAGTAAAAATATAGGAAGTATATGATATTTTTATTAAGATGTTTGAAAGATAATGTGTCTTCTTCGTAGTAGCAAAGGAAAAGATGTATAATTTTTTAGGCATCTTTTTAAAGATTGTCATTTACTCCATGTGTCTTCCATTGTGTATTGTTCATATCACTCTAATAGAGAAAATAATTATTTTCAACTCTTCGTATGAGCCAATTTATTTTTTCTTTATAATTTTCAAGTAATTTTGTCTCGTACTCGTATATTAACAAAATTAATTATTAATACTTATATAAGTAATTATCTTAATTTTAATTTTTAAAATATTTTAATATTTAATATTTTATTTCTCAATTAAAATAGTTTTCATTAATGAAAATTGTTAATTTATAAATGGCCAACACATATTGTTGACGTAAAACTTTTATATGTATTTAGTTAATGACGTGATATGTGTAACACCACTCAAAGTGACTGCCTAACATGTATCACGTTATCAATTAAACATATGAGACTATCACGTCAATAACATGTGCTGACTGTTAATTAACTAATCATTATTATCTAAGATAAATTATTTTGATTAAAATTTAAAATATTTAAATTAAAATACACTAGAAAATAAAGATCAAAGTAGTGATTTATACAAACGTTGGAAGGTTAATTTTATCATCATACGTCAAACTTATTTGATGTATCTTTACCTTAACTACTATTTTAGTGGTTTTGTAATATATTTATTTAATTATATTATATATTAATTATGAAATGTATTATTTTAGATATTTTAATTTTTGAAATTTAATCCTATGAATGAAAATTTTCAAATTCGTCAATATATTTAAATTGATAAGATGATTAATTAGAAATATTATTACTAACAAAAAGAATATGTTAATAAGATGCATGATTAATTATTCATTGAAAATATTTAACGATATCAATATAAATGATTTAATTTACTATTAATTAAATAATTAAATTAAAAAATTTGTAAAACAAATCATTCCAATAATGCATGATGTATCCTATTTTTGCAAATAAATATCAAAATCCAATAAAACATGTTTGGCTAAACAAGTCTTATAAATTTATAATTTTTTAAATAACTGATATTTAATACATTAATTAATTTAAATTGAATAATGTAAAGACTTTTGATTCATTTTGCTCAGATCTGACTAGTTGTTGATTAATAAATTCTTAATTGAATTCAACTAAATTACATTTATTAATATCGATGAAAAACACCCATATACTTTAATCATTTTACAAAACTGCGTGAAGGGCCCCGTTATTTAGATTTCAAAACATCGCGCGAAATCAAGAAAATTGTTTTATTAGAAGAAAAAAGGAACTCTTTAAATCCCCAAATCGTTCACTTCAAACATCCAAAAGCTAGAAGAAGAGAAAACCCAATTAACGTATTCTTTCCCGTGATTTCTAAGGTTCATGTCTTTATGGTTTAGCAATGTCGAAGATAGGGAGATCGGTTTCAGCTCAAAGCAACTTGTTTGAATCCGAAGAAGAAAATGCAGTCAACGAAAGGGAGAATAGCCACTGGGTAGATGAAGAAACAACATTGTTTGTTCAGAAAAAGCTGCGTCAAAGCGATTACGATCATGTTAGTGTTTTGCTCTACCCTCCTAATTTTAAGTGCATTATTATTATGTTTGGAGTAAATTCAATATGTTTTTTGTTTTACTCCTCTGTGTTGCTTGAGATGTGATCTGAAAGGTTTATATGCTAAATGACTGAAGTTGTTAAGAAATTATCTCCCCCCATGTTGTGATTCTCAGTTGAAAGTGATAGATGAAGAAGAATAAGTCGATACAACTGAACGAATAGAGTTTTGAAATTTAACTGAAAGTATTTGTGCGCTAAATTTTATTACCAATTGCACAAGGATGAAAAATATTTCGTGATTTCGTAAAACAAGAAGACATATTTAAATAAAATGTTTAAATTTATCATGATTTTTGAAGTTTTGCACATGTGATCTATGCAACAAGGATCATGGATTCGAAGATTTGAATTTATGAGAAAGGCATACACTTTTTGGGTAAATTAATTGTAATTTATTATAATTATATATTTAAGTATAAAAACATGAATGTTCAAGTTCACAAATATTTGTAGGAAATTTACCAATAATCAGTTGGTCTAGTGGGATGAGGTCCTAGATTTCTTAAACAAAGTCAAGGTTTGAATCTTGTCGTTTTCGTATGAAGCAAACTGGAGTTGGGAGGGTTGTCCTCATATTGGGCCTTTGCAAAACTCAATCTGAATTAGTCGGTCAATAGATCAGATACTAGTGATTAATTAAAAAAAATATTTGTGGGAATTTCATATGAACTACTAATAGGCATTCATCCGTGCATTTAAAAATAATCATGAATATTTTATTTATGTGTTTCATCACGCAAACTGTATTTTAAATTCCAGTTCTTTGGATTTTTTAACTAAAGAATTTCTCAAAGGGAAACAAATATAAGAAAAATATTTGAAATAAAATGGAGAAACTAATAAAATATGCACTCAAGAGCTATAAAACCCAGAATCTTTGGTGAATGGGACTTGAAATTGCTTTAGATTTAAGGTACCAAAAGAATTAGTTATATTATAGTTCATTTGCTTTTGGTCATATATACTTCAGCTTTTAGTTCTCGATAGTTTCAGATTGATATGATTAGATTGTAAGAGGGGTTCTTCATGACAAAAGTAATAAACTGCTGACTCTTATCTTTTATCATTTTAGGTTGGTAACAAGCAAAACTGCAACATTGAAAATGTACAAGTTACGGGAGTTGGTCTTATGTCAAAGATTCAGAATCTTGAGAATCGATTTGCTTCTGCCTTCACAGAATTCAGGGTTTCTGACTTGTCTGTTGGCAACATCGAACTGTCCAAATTCGTTGCTGAGTTGGATGAACAAGTTCAACTTTGTTTTTCTGAGATGAAGCAATTGTGTACTCTTTATTCATTTGCAAATCTTAAAGGAATTAGTTGTTATTATGATTTCGAAATTTTGGGAAGTTTGGATTTGATTTGTCAAAAGCAGCAGTTATGTTCTCCTTATCAAGAACCTTTTGATATGGTAAAGGAATTGTCGGAAAAATTACTTGAGATAGAGAAGCTTAAATCTGACAATTTGCTCAAGGAACATGAGCTCGAGGGTTTAAGGCAATGTCAAAAAGAGTTAGAAACTTGGATTTATTCTGTTGAGAAGGAGAAAAGTCAGTTGGAGGAAGATATGGAAATCATGCGAAGGGAGGTTGTTGTTACAACTAAATTCTTGGATGATTTACGGAGCGAAATGATGGAACTGAATTGCAATACGGACACCAAGATTTCTGCTAACAAAATTCTCATAAAGAAATCTTTTGAACTTGAAGATGAAAAGCAGGAAGTGAAAGTTTATTCATCTGAACTCGGAGAAGAAAACTTACTTTTGTCTGATCAGTTATGTGGTTTAGAGGAAAAAATCATGTATCTAATTGATGAGAAAAACTCATACCATATGGAAGGAAAATGTCCAGATTTTGATGCTATGGATTTCAAAGATGAGATAATAAAAAGATTGGAAGATGAAATAGAAGTAGAAAGGCTTGTTATAAGACAGAAGATGAATGAAATGCAAAGGCAATGGTTTGAAGTTCAAGTAGAGTGTGATTATCTAAAAGTTGAAAATCTCAAACTCATTGAAGAATGTAGCATGCTTCAAGAAGAAAATGGAGAGCTATGGAAGCAAAAGACCAAGTTAAATGAGCATTGTATGGTATTAGAAATAGAATTGAACAAAGTTGATAACCTTCAGAGAAATAATCAACTGTTAGAAGAAGAAATTTTGGCTCAATTGCAAAAAAAGTTACAACTTCAGAAAGAAATCTTGGCTCTTAAGGAAACAATTAGTGAAACCAAGTCTGAAAATGAGATGCTGGAAGCTTCTTTTAGGATGTTATCTCGAGAGCATGAAGAGCATGAGGCTAAAACAACGTTATTTGTTCAGAAAATCTTGAATAGTTGCAGATGTAGGAGAGTTGCCCTTGAAGAAGCCTTGGGAACTCATGAAGCTTTGCCGGAAAATGAGCTGGTCTAGACTAGGAGAGAATCACATACGGTTTAATGTTGGTAGACTTTTTCATTTCATTGTAATTGATCATAATCCTTTACATTAGGAAATCATTTGTTTGAAGAGGTTCTCTTTGATGGAGAAGTCATAAGTTGCTGAAACAACTGATCTTTCTCTTTCTTTTTTACAGATTGATGAAAAGAAAAACTTCAATACTCAAAATCCTCAATTTATAGGAGTTAAGCTTGCCGAAGCTTTAAAGGCAAATGATATGTATAAGACCCAGCTGAAGAGATGAGTAAATGTGGTAGGTTCCTGAACCATAAAGATTATAATCTTTTGTCTTGATAAACCTGTAACATCTGAAATGGGGTATATAAATTTTTACTGTTAAATAATACAATCGATTATGTGTTAAATTCTTTTATGTTTTCTGATGAAGTTGTTTTGTCTCATCTTGAGTAACATGACACCAGGCAGTATTTGGTTTCTAATTAAAATCTCTAACCCTAGGATGCTTTTGTAATACATCAGGTGACTTTGAAAGGATGGTTGTATAAAAGATACAACCTAATGATGGGCTTTTTAAGGAAATATCCTTGTTGATTTAGGATAATGTTCTTATGCAATGAATAACTCCACATAAAACAAAGAAAAGGTGTGCTTCCTTGAGCTTCGACTGTCATTTACAACCTCAAACTTTACATTTATTTCTCTCCGTCTCTTCTTTTTGTATTTGACATCCGCTGTCATCATATATTGTAGCAAGATAAAGTTGTAGTCACATTAATTCTGTACTGTTACTCTCTCTTGGCTGGAATTACAGGCTTGCCAAAAGTATCCCGGGTAAGGGATGCTAAAACTAGTTCGACATCCGCTGTCATCACATATCGTTCAAAGTCAACTCTCGAAGTCAGGTACTGAACTGCAAACTTGATTGTGCTCGAAGACTGTAAGTAGTGTTATACAAATGTAATCTAACACTAGCGATATTTGAAAATTTCACTTGTGTTCAGTTTCTTTTTCCGGAGGATATAAGCAGCCATGTAGGTGTTCCGGTAAGTTGACAGATGAAGGAGGTGCAGGAAACGACAGACGTGAATGCAAGGTATCGATGCTTGAGATTGAGATGAGTGCAATGTGTCAAATATGCTAAGGTAGATGCTGATCCAGAGCGACTTGTAGTGTAGCTTAAGGATGTTAGCTTGATATCCACTGTTTGATTTCAGAATCCCATGCAACTTTGCTGCTTTTACCCACGGGTTCAAGGGAGTAAATCGGAAGCGTTATATAAAGTTGGGGCAACAAGTGCAACAAAAAAAAAAAGCTTAATTTTGGAATATGGGTGCACATTTTACTAGCTAATTCTGTAATCCAATTAGTTAATATTTTTATTTCTAAGGTAATTCTTGTTATATAATATTTTCTTTTTAACCGAAAAAAATAATTAAGCAAAATATTAGTTTAGAAGTAATATATCGATCCGAGTCGTACATTTGATTTAAATAGGTGAGTCTACCAATGAGAATTTTTTATATATACAATGACTCGAATATGAGACTTTGCTTAAGTGATATGAAATTGTTTACAATTTGAACTAATCCCTTTAGTACTGGTCATTTTAGTTTTGTAGGAGACTGCAAGATACTAATAAGTTCCTCGGGGATTAGTTCAGTTTTAACAAACAAACAAAAATAAGGATCTTATCAATTTATGATAAAATTGGTTATGGTTTTTAAATTTTATAAAATTAAAAATAAAGGGAAATTTTTTGACTTTAATAATATATGATTTTACTGTTTTATGGGATAGAAATTTTCTCATCAATCGTAATCTTAACTAGAAAATTTATAAAATTAGTGATTTGTTTGAGTTTTATAATTTTCTCTCATTGAATTCAAAAAACATAAGATTTTCTCATTTTATTTTTGTTTTAATTAAAATTTGATCATTTTTCGTTTCGTTTTAATTAAAATGAGATCACTGAAAATTAATTGTTGTTAAACTTTTAATTGTTTGTTGATTTAGTACGATAAATATATAAAATTAAGATTACATTATTTCCACTTAGATAATATATGGAATAAATTTTGGTCACTTGAGTTATTGTTTTTTTAAGTTTTAGTCACTTGGATGTCGAATGTCATTAGTTTAATGACATGACATTTTAGTAAAATGATTTAATTTTTATTTAACCCTTATATTTTAGATAAAATATTGATTACGAGTCTTTTTGAAAATTTAAATTAATTTTCCTTCCAACCCCATTATTGTTCATCTCTCTTCTTGTTTCTTCTTCAAACATCTGTACTCTATTATTTCATTTAAACCCATAGATTTTATGTCAAAAGTTTGTAAGTATGTTATCAATAAGTGAAAAAATTTAGAGATATTGCCTTGTAATGCCAACTATAACTATTCAAGAAAGAAATTCCCCTTTTAAAATGGCAGCTCTCTATCTTTAATAGAAGCATCTCCTCCAATTTCTCTCAGTTTGGTCTTTATCCTTTAAATTTGCAATTTAACAGCAACATGATACTAAAGTATTACCTTTTAATTTGCAGGTGAAATTCCATGGGAAATTGGAGAACTTGAGTGCTCTTATATAGTTATATTGAAACATTCAAAGTTTTTTAGGTAAATTACCAGACACGAGTGCTCTTTCAAATCTTGAGAAGCTTTATCTATATGGGGAAATATTCTAAGCGGAAATATTCCAGATTCCATCTGCAATGTTTCTAGGCTCAGACCCAATGCACTTGGCAATTGAGATTGCTCGAGGGATTATATCTTTATTCGAATCATTTGACTACCAAACCCTCACTTCATCTGAAATTGCAGCCACTTGAGAATTCTGGACTTATCATTTAACCAGTTGAGTGACATTCTTCCAACTTCATTCTCAAATCTCTCGATATCACTCAAACATTTTAAGGCCGGCGCTTGCCAACATTCCCATGGAAATTGGTAGTCTAAACAATATTATGGAATTAGACCTTTCTACCAATGAGTTGAGTGGAACTATTCCAGTAGAAATAGGAAGGCTAATCTCCAATTTCTGGGGTTTTCTGGAAATAAGCTGCAAGGTTCTATCCCACATCAACCTTGTGGCTTAAAAGGATTGCAGCAGTTTTTGTTAGCTATGAATGATCTTGATGGAACTTTACCGGTATGTTTGGGTGATTTGATTTCTCTGAGAGTGCTGGATTTTTCCTCCAACAAGTTGCATTCATCAATACCTTTTAAGTTTTTGGAGATTGAGAGATATCTTACAAGTAGACTTGTCATCCAACTATTTGAATGGTTCACTTCCACTTGACATCGGGAATTTGAAGGTAATTACAAGCCTGAATTTGTTCTCAAGTGATATTCCTCCCACTCTTGGAAGTCTCCAAGATCTACAATTTCTACTTCTTTCTAATAATCGATTTCAAGGTCCTATTCCTGAATCATTAGGTGGATTGTTGAGTTTGAAAAGTTTGGATTTATCTAATAACAATCTCTGTGGAGTAATTCCTAAATCTTTGGAAAGACTTTCGTATCTCAAATTTTTGAATGTCTTTCAACGGATTAGAAGGTGAAATCCCAAATAGAGGAGAAATTATTTGATGGACTCGGCTCACCACATCATTTGTGGGCCGAGTTAACGAGAGTAATAAGTTTTAAAATAACTTCCATCTAACTACTCACCTCTTATTTACATGTAGGAAAGATGTGAAGATTCACTTTGAAAAAAAATGATATGGACAAATGTTATTAGTTGGGATCACAGATGATGTGGTGAGCCGGGATCATCTAATAATTTCTCCAAATAGAGGGTGTTTTATAAACTTCACTGTCAAATCATTAATGAAAAATTATGCACTCTGTGGCTGGCCTAGATTACAAGTCCAACCTTGCAGGAATGACATTCATCAACAATCCAACAAGGCGCTTCTCCATGCTTTGAAATATGTTTTGCCAATATTTGGTTCTACTCTCATGGTTGTAGCTTTTGTAATTGTCTATAAAAAACGGTAAAGCAAGAGTACAAGCTTGACAACTGCATAAGATGTAGTTCCTTTCAACAAATGGAGAAGAGTTTCTTACCATCAATTACTGGTGGATTTAATGAAAGCAAGTTCCTTGGTTCGGGAAGTTTTGGCTCGGTATACAAAGGAATACTTTCAGATGGGATGGAAGTTGCAGTAAAAGTTTTCAACTTGGAATTAGATGGGGCATTTAGGAGTTTTGATGTTGAATGTGAAGTGATGGGAAACATCCTTCATCGCAATCTAGTCAAGGTCATTACTTGTTGTTCTACTGTCGATTTTAAAGCCTTGGTGCTTGAATTCATGCCTAATGGTAGTCTTGAGAAATGGCTATACTCCGACAATCATGCTTTGGACATCCTGCAAAGAGTCAAAATAATGATTGATGTTCCGTCAGCCTTAGAATATCTTCATTTTGGACGTGTTCTTCCTGTAATCCATTGTGACCTGAAACCAAGTAATGTCTTGTTGGATGAGGACATTGTTGCAAATGTGGGAGATTTTGGAATTGCTAAACTATTGTGAGAAGCAGATTCCATCAAGCAAACAATAACACTCGCCACTATGGATACATGGCACCAGGTGATGTTCTCATTTTTTTTCTTTTCTATATTCCATCTTTTACAGATATTAGCATTTTATTGAAGAATAGTGATGCAGCAATGGCATAATACCATTTTAATGATTCAATTCAATGTTTAAAATACAGAATATGGATCGGCAGGAATTATTTCCATGAAGAGTGATGTCTATAGTTATGGCATTATGTTGACGGGAACTTTCACAAGGAGGAAGCCTACCGATGAATTTTCTTCTGGAGAAATGCGTATAAAGCATTGGGTTGTTATCTAGAGGAATAAGTGTAGGGGACTCCTGCATTAGGCAAGAGGAGGATGAATATTTGGAGTTAAAGCGAATTGTTTATCATCGATAATGGAATTGGCTTTGGATTGTTTGACTGACTTACCTGAAGATAGGATGGATATGAAGAATGTTGTTTCGAAGCTCGAGAATATCAAAAGAAATCTTCTGAACAACATTGACAAAGATTAATACACTTAGAAATGCCATTGTTACTGCTGATTCAGTAGCAACTGTTGATATTGGTAGGGTTCATAACCACAAGTAATTGAAGAGTATCATTTCTCGAGAATCTTGGTTTCTTAACACATGATCATATTTCATGTATTTGTGTTCTTCATATGAATCATATCATGGCCGCATTAAAAAAGTAACCAATTGAAGTGGAAATTAAAAGGGGGAAGACCCACAAAAGCAAGTGGTCAATCATGTCGTTTTTTCCTTTGCTAATGGGATTGGGATGTACCCTAGCTGTACTATGGAGGTTTTACTCAACTAATTAAGCATGACCACATTTGTTGGTAGGTCTGTTTCAAATGAATTTTTTTTAAGCAATGGAAAAGGAGTAAAAGTCAAGTGACAGATGGAATATCAATGTGAATAAATTATTTGGACGGAGAAGTAATAATCAATCTTTATAAACAACAGCCTTCTGGCTCAAACAAAAAACATGTATAACCTTGATATTCAGAAAGGTTTAAGGTTCAAGCATGTCCTTGGTTTGGGTTGCTAGTAGCGGTGCCCTGTTTTCCATAGGAGAAAGATTTATCGACGTTTTGGAATACGAAAGATGTAAATAAAAGTTAAATTGCTTAAAATTGTTTGATTAAACTCGTTTGCTTCTATTAAACTTAAATAAAAACAAATAATTCCCATGCGCGAACTTCAAAGTCAAATACAAACTCAGATTCTTACACTACTAGATCTGCAAACAACCCGCTCCAAGAATCAAGCTATTTAAACTCAGCTTACTCAATAACTCGTATTCTTCGAGCTTAAACTTAGCTCAACAATGACAACTAACATTCAAATCTTTTTTGAACTGAATCCCAGTAGCTGGTAAGAATTACTCTCATTTATATCCTACATGAGTCCAATTTCAGGATGGAAAATACTTTCTTCAATGATCCGATCATAAAATTTGATTTTAGAAAGCCATCAAAGAAATAAACAAATAGCAAAGCCTCGGTCAAAACTAAACTATAACTGATAAAAATTGCCTATGAAAGATCCAAAAATTAGTGAAAGAAAAGAGATAAAAAGACGCATCACTGAACTGAATGTTCTTGCGTGGTGTGAAAAAGAATTACCATGATCGTCACCCTGTTAACCAAAAACCCACTATGCCACCGGAGATAACCGTGTAAGTTGGCTTGGATCACTAGCGAAACATGGAAACACCGGGAAGCTATTTTTGTTTAACTTCTGCTTCTGAAAAGCAATTTACTTGATAAAAAAGAATTGGAAGAATAAAATGTCCCCAACAATGCTGTTAGATTTAACTCGCCTTCTCTTGTCTGCAACACTTTTCTCCGGCTTCCCGGTTTGAGAAAAAGGAAAAGGGGTTCGGTATTCATGTTAGGGTACGGTGATTCTAGGTTAGACTTAGAATATGGAAATCTGTATTAGCTTCTACGTATCCTATAATCCAAGCGGTATCTGCCTATACCCATTCTTCATCCTTTCCAACAGTTTCTCTTTAGTTTTCCTCTTTTTATCCATCTTCAACCGATATCTTTCTTCCCTCTCCCTCTCGTAAATTCCTTGCCAATGTACTTCTCCCGTCAATGGCCACAACCACATCTTCCTCGGATTGTCATCATCGTCTGCAGCCTCAGCTAGATCTTCATCCATGGTCTTTAATAATGTGAAATTAAAATATCTAGCCCACATAAATTCTTTCCGTTGTTCAACCAGATGCTGCTCTTCAAGCAAACCAGAGCGCGGCTCGATGTAGACCATCCTCCGCCCACTATGGTAAGCCCAGACATTGACTAAAAGTTCCAATACCCGACAGTAACATTGTTTTTTCTGCCCATTATTAAATAACCCAGAAGACAACGTTAGATTAGACTCTTAATGGAACGAACAAATATTATAGGAACAAGGATTTTTTTTAATAAATAGGAACAAGGATTTAAATAACAGTCACAGATGCAATCTCGAAGCAGTCATGGTTATCGCAGTTGTGGGAATAATGAATTGTTGACCATGAATATCAGTGGAGGAGAGAGCGAAAACTGTAGAGTAATGGTCATAATATCATGTTGCAGCTGCTATTTAAATCACTTATAGGAACAAAAGAGCTTACCTCGAGATATGTTGAACCTAGCAAACATATACTGGGCTCACTAGAATTGTAATGCAAGGCATCAAGAGAATCAACAAACATCCTGCAGTTAAATTATATAAGTTTTTAGTCATCATCAACTGGATAAGATGCAATAAAATGTGTAGAGAACTTGTAAATTACCGTGAAAACATAACAAACTCCAAAAAGGACTTGGTTGGCATCACCCAGCTATGTAAGGAAGACCAGTGGCCTTCATCTTGGGGCATGGGAGGAAGAGCTTCTATATCTGATGGTAAGTTATACATCTTGCGGAAGGCATTTTCAAAAGCAGTTCTGCAGCATTTAAAGCATCAAAGCTACTCATATAATTTTCATATAATAATATAAGTCATCTAAGATGCACAGAAATTTATTGCAATTTAAATCACAAAGCAGTTGCATGTCGACGTAACTCAACCACAAATCTGTGGATCCCGTCCCTTATATGGATTATATGCACTAAAGCACTCTCCATTTTAATAGCTAACTTTTGGAGTGTGGTTCACATAAGGTACCAGAGCTATCCACCATATATCTCAAATGCAATCATGCAGACTACAAGGTGACACTAGAATAACAATGCTCGCCTGGGGTTAGAATAAGAAGCACAGAGCCATAGCCCATGTAGGCGGCATGATTGCAGAGCATGCCTGGATTTTTTATGATCCTAATTGCAAGGTCTGGGACTTGAATCCCTTCCTGGCGAGGTTTATTTGGAACTAATATCTCCCATCCTAAAAATTAGCTTTTGGGGTGTGGTTCTCGTAAGGCTTGTATCTATTGTCACCTCCAAGCCCATGAAACCTGACCACCTCGTGAACAACTGTTGACATTTGAATATGTTATGAACTGAGGAGAATAGAGAAGGAAAAATCGAAAGAATAAAGGTTTTAGAAGAAGAAAAGAAGAGAGATTTCAGAAATCAGAATTTCATTCATTCATCAGGTGATTTCTTTCTTCCCCAGTACACGGTTTTATTTGCATTACAATGTACTATGGCAATTGTGAAAGTGACAGCTGTATAACTAACTTCTAACAGATTCCCTGCAGATAAGAACTTAATATTTTCCTCCTCACTTGCTTCCCACGTGCACTCTCCTCTTTCATCCAATCCCCAAATTTCCCAATTGATTTACTCTCAATCCCTAACCCTTCCTTAGTAATTCCCAAATTACTTTCTTCGAGTCTAACTTCTTCTTCTCTGCCTTCTCTCTCGTGCATGACAGAATATAACAGCCATGAAGTAAATCCCAGCCAATGATGATTGTGTATCTTGTCACCCATTGAACCTGATCTTGGCCCATTTTCAGGAAAAAAATTGAACCCTAATCAGACCAGACTTAACAGCTGATAAATCAAAGCGAATGATTGCCTCTTTACAACACCACCTATCTTTTTTTTTCCTTATAAAACATGTCATAGAACAGAAAATACATCTTTTACCGTGAAAACTGAAGAATGATGTTTTCCTTGGTGCCATATTTAAAAGAGTAACCAAAATGGTACCATGATGGCTTAAGCAGAGAGAAAATGACACATTTTATTTGACGTAAATCGTAACAGAAAGAAGAAACCAGGGAGAAAGCAACTTAACATAGAAGAGATAATCTCTATGCTATTGCTAGGGGCAGCGAAATAAAATAGAAGCAAGACCAATGGAATGGAAAGCAAAGAAAGTGAAAGCAGGGGAAAAGTTGTATCACTCTGTATCAACAACATGAAAAGATGGCAAGCAAAACACCCTCACTCAACTTGTACAAAATTAAAGTGCAAATCTTGGCATCAGCAAGGTGTTACAGTACAGAAGAATCAGTCATCTATTATGCTTAATAATCATATATCCAACCGATATAAGGAGAAACAAACCTGCAGTGTCCAGCATTTAATATATCACACATCGACCAAAATGAAAGTGCATCATTGCTTCCTTCACCTCCACCATAAAAATCAAGGCGCGCCCAAAAGTACATTACATCTCCTTTACTTCTTTGTATTGTTTCTTCTAGAACTTTTTCAGCTTTTGCAGACAATGAAACCTATTTCAAGAAAAAGACAGAGCAGTCAATAGTTGAATACTCTAAAAGCTGATACTCGTACACTTAAAGCAATAGGTATCAGAATGGAAGCAAAAATGGATCTGTTTAGTTTTACGATCTTTTTCATTTTTTCCCTGGGAACAGAATATGGATGGTTTAAAGGTAAAAGACCATAAACAAATGGAAAGATGATAGCATATGAGAGTAAACCACCATTCGTTAATTTATTTGAGAGTAGAAGAAAATGAAGTGAATTTAAGCCATTATCATTGTAACTTAAAGACAGTTATTTCGAT